GGCATCATGCTTGGGGATCCGACCAACCAAAAGCTGGGTTCATGATCTCGCCCTTCCAAACCCAGTTCCAAATCTGGTTTGCGAGGGCACTCGGGGCCAAGAGAAGTACGTATGCACGTCTAATATATCCTGTCGTACAACCTTGCAGATCTTGTAATCTGGGCCGCACAATCTCTGTCCCACCAACCCCATGCATTGCTATAGTCTGTATTCCTCACGTAGGAGCAAACTTTGGTGTTGATATTCCGATATTCCAACCCTACGGCCTTAAGAACGATAGTGCTAACCTATACTAGTCCTCGAGATTGGATGCTACATCGGTTTCTCAGCCCTTGGCTTTTCTGAAGCTGTCGGCCCGGATGGTCACGTCACGACCCTCGAGTTCGACCCGGAATACGCCCAAATTGCACGTGAGACCTTCGAGAAGAATGGCGTGAAGAACGTCGAGGTTATCGTTGGAGATGCGAACAAAAGGTGATTTATTTATTTCTGTCGTCTATAAATATAAAACACTTTGACTGACATCTTTTAGCATTCCCGAGCTGGCCGCGGCGATCGACCAGCCATATGACCTGATCTTCGTCGACGCGGACAAGATATCCTACCCCAATTATCTCTCTCTCATCCTCTCACTTTCAACATCCGCTAGTAAAGTGCGCCTTCTCAAGCCTGGTGGCACAATTATAGCGGACAATATTCTCCGCCGTGGTATTGTCGCTGACCAGAGCTCCTCCAATCCAAATGTCACTGCCGAAGAGCTTTCGTCCGAAAAGGGGGGGAAAGGCGAACAATTGGTCGCATTGGATAAGTTCAACAAGAATCTTGTCGAGAATGAGAGAATTGAGACCTTCTTGCTTCCACTATTCGACGGGCTGGGCATGGGGAGGTTGAGGGATTAGCAAAGCTATGTGAATAATTAATACTGTAGCCCGCCCATCTCGAGCAGAGACACGTTAAAATATAACCACATTGACATCTTTGTCCGCGTCCGCCGATTTAATCACTTATGCCACATCCGAATGTGATGTAGTCACGTTTTCAAGCGAATTTAATCACTGACAAGTTGCCAAATGTTCAAATGATCATTTTAGACTACAGGCCGAAGCAAAGCACCTGACAGACAAGAGCACCATTTGTCGCTTCTGGATCAACAAACTACGAGTACAGACGTAGCCACATTGTCCATGAAGCAGGAATACGGTTTGCCAACCTAGCCGTCTCAAACTCCTGCACCAACTCCAGCCCTGAAGCGATTCTCTTTGGGCAATCACAAACAACAAACAAAGTCCCATGCACGTATCATTAATACATCGACACCAGCCGCGCTCGGTATTGCTGCCTTCTTTTCGGGGAATGGTGGTACTGAATCGCTCTCATGCGGGATTCCCTTCCCTCCAGACGATGGCCAGCATCACTTGGTCAACTGCGAGCCATAGTTGTCGCAATGGCGAATCCAAGCAGTCCATCCGTTCTTTTCTGACCTTTCTGTATTGTCCAGGACTGTGATAGGCTCCATAACTATTCGGATACGTTTCGATATCTTCTTCTGTGCGCTATCCAGGTGATCCAAAACCCGTCGCTCTTGTTTGCTTACTTTCTCAAACGTCTTGTCTTTGGCCTTGTTAATCTTTTCTTGGGCCTTGCTAATCTTGTCTTGGGTCTTATTAATCTTGACCTGGGCTTTGTTAATCTTGTCCCGGACCTTGCCAGGTTGTAGTGGTACCTCAGCTACGTTGGCTTGTGCAACAATTCCCTCCGTAGTAGCATCGATTTCTTCACCATCAGCTGCGGGTGCAGCATTTGCGTTGCTGGATTCGGCTCCCCGTGCGTTGGATAAGACTTGTCCTTCGTGGTATATTTCCATCGATTCCATGCCGGCACCTTCCTCTGGTATATCAACCCTCATAAGGAGACCCTTGGGGCGAAACAGATTGTTCTGTGAAGCCCGAACATACTCGAAAACCTTAGAAAGCGATTTTTGGAAGTCGACTTTCCCACCCCCACCCCCACCACCAAACGGAAGAACCATGCGAATTGGAGTTTTCTTCTTTTTCTTACCAGGAGGGTCTATAAGTGAGATCAGATGAGCTGTGAATTTATTCCAGTCTTCCTCGAGTATCTCATAAGTGGCTAGACCGTGTGGGTAAGGGAAGCCGTCGGCTAGTCGATCCTGCGAAGGGACTTGAATACCATTCTGGTATGGTTTTCCGGCGCGTAATGGAATGATCGCCGAAAGGCGCATGATTCTGGCATTTCTGTCTTCAGTAAAAGGCACTGTTACGGAACGTTCTTGCGCATAAGTTTTCCCACGAGGCTCGATTGGACCGGAATTCTCTTCAACATCTGCAATAACAGGGGATGTTTTGCTTTCTAAAGACTCAACTACCTGGTCAGGTATCTTAGCTGCAAGTTCTTCCAATGGTTTGGTATGCGATGGCCTCAGTTCCACAGCCTTGGCCTCTTCGGCGTGTTTCACGGTTGGGGTAACAGGGGTTTCTTGAAGGCCGTCAACGGCGCCTGGAACAGATGGCGCAGGTGCTGTTACTAGTACCGGTGCTGCGGTCGAACTTCTGGACAATTTGGAAGGGAATGCAGTTGCAGTTTCGGGCTTTGGCGTGGCGTTGCTTGTCATGATATGGACGACGGTGTCTACTGCTTCTTGTTCCCCTGGTGGAGTTAAACGCGATAGCGCTGCGTCGCTATCCTGTGTAGAAATTTAGTTTAATGGTCTTCTTGAGTCTAGATTTGCAGTGCAACTGCTTGATGTTTGGCACCAGTTGCTCATTACGTACCGAATGAGGATTTGGATGAATGATAACGTGAACCGTCGGCATTGGACCTATCCTCACGTCTGCGAGGAAGCAGATTGCTGCGTCTTTGGTCTGATTTGTTGAGGGAATGGATTGTGAAGTTGCAACCTGCTAATGGCGATATGAATAGGGTATAGATAGTAATATAGTAATTAGGAGAGTTGTGCGTGAGCTACTTAGGTATTCGAGCTGTGTAATGAATGAGGATGAAGATGAATGGGAAGGAGAGTGGCTCGAGAAGTAGCAAAGGATGCGGGTTCGAAATTTGCAGAAATCCGGAATAGTTGGCAGGCACGAGTGGCTGGTTGACCATTGGACCTTCCTTGAACTTTTGTTGAAGTAGCTATCTAGCTACGACACACAGAGGATGCACCAGTGAGCTATTATCCGTTTCATAAACCCCCCAAATTGCCATAATTATGACCCAGGACTCCTTCGCTATGTGAAATAACACTGTACCCTTTCCCAACGATCCTCATCTTCTCTCCCTGTCCGGCCGTGCCCTGCTTCGGCTACGACTGCGATCGCTGCTGTAGCTGCTGTAACTCGAACTTCTCCTCCGAGTACCATTACGGTCTTCATTACCTCGCCTCCCACCGCGCCTCCTTGGAGATCTCGACCTGGATGAGTACGTTCTGGAATGGCTCCTGCGCGCCCTTGGGGAACGAGACCTGGACAGTGACCGTGGTCGATAAGTATCTGACGGAGCACCTCTGTTGTAATTTCTGTTTGGAGACCGACGCCGTGGTGGTGGTGGGCCTCGAGCGTCCACTCGTGCTCGTGGCTCCATATTTCCGCCCCGTCTTGCCGGTGGCGGTGCTGGTGAGAATTTGCGTCTCGGAATGACAATAGACACGCTTATCACAGCGCCGTCCACTTGCGCCTCGTGCATATGGGCAATGGCCTGGTCGGCGTCGGCTTCAACCGCGTATAGGAGATAAGCTGTGCCACGGTTTGTACCGACTGTACGGGTTAGAAAGGTCCCATTGAGAGCTGACACAACTTACATTGTCTGTTCATGGGCATATCCATATCAATGATCTCACCGAAGCTCCCAAACAGCTCTCTGAGGTGGTTCTCGTTTATGTTTTTGGTGAGTCTCTCGACCACGATCTGGAACCTGTCAGTAACAATTTCGTTCGTAGCACGCGACAGCCATATTGTAGGACTCTGATAAAGGTAAAGTGCGGATTTCATACCTTTGTGCTTCTCACATCTGGACTTGGGCTGCGTGAGATGCTCCTGGTGGCTCTGCGTCCTCTATTTCGATCATATGAGGGGGACCGTGAGCGGCGCGGTGATATAGATCGCCGGCGCGAGGGTGATGGGGAGCGAGAATGCTCCAGACGAGGTGAAAGAGAGCGCATGGGTTCGCGCCCACGAGATAAAGAACGCGGGGGCATCGCAGGTTGAAAACTGGATGGTTTTGGTCGAATTACTCTGCAAAATAATCGGAGAGTAGGGTCGTACCCAAGGATGATGTGTAGGGGTTGTTGTGTGATGTGTATGGCGTATTGTGTTTTGCCAATTGAATGCGATGTGAAGTTATCGGCGCGGCTGTGGATTGAGCCTTGGGGTAGAACTGATGAACTGAACGCGTCAGAACGCCAAGCTCATGTACAGCCAGATTTAATTGCTCGCTTATCTGGGACTAAATTACTCCACCATGATGACGCGGGGCAGAAGTAAGGAGTGATATGGTGAATGGATTGAATTTAAGCGCTCTATATGCTTGAAATAAACACACCTAGTAAGTATGGTGCATATTCTGGCGCCAACTGAGAAAGCTTGGCTGTAATCGTGGGTGAAAGCAATATGCGTTTGCGAACACCACATATTATAGGTACCTTTACATATTAAATTATATGTAATATGACTTAAGGTAACAAAAATATAGAAATCCACCTGAATTTATTTAATAAAACATACATAACTACAAATGCTCTATTAGTGCCCCTAAAATATAATACTATTTATTCAAGATGCATTTAAATTTTATGGGGCTATTTCTAAAGCGGATGTAAAATAATAGATTATGTTAAATGAGGAAGGAAGTTGCGACTGTAGTTAGAATGTCACGAACACACATGCGTCCACATCTTTCTCACGAATGCATAACGCTTCCCACGATTCCCACGACTATCAAAAAGTGTTGAAATTAGCAAAAAACGAAAAGAAAGCTTCAATGAATGCTCCCGTACGGATTTGAACCGTAGACCTCGGCATGTCACGTGACCGATGATCATGTGATAGTACTAGTGCCGCGCTCTACCAACTGAGCTACGAGAGCAGATTGTTATTATGGGCACCCATAATATGACTCTTATGCATCGCAAGTCAAGTCATGTGAGCTTCGACCAACTACCAACACTAACGAACAATGGCATTTGGGAATCCCATCCTTCGGTTACAGGCACCATAAACCTGCTTTTCGATGGACTTCAAACACCAATTGCCACCTGCATGTCGTTCATTCATTGACCTTTATAGTTTTCCGACTTCTATCTAATTTCACCCTTCATTACCGGTCACAGCCCGTCACTGTCATTGTCACCGAGGCCTTGACCTGACACCCGGCTGACTAAAGAGCTAGAAGGCGGATTTGCACGTGATAAAGCCAGACTTGGACCACGACGGCAACAATGAATTGATCTGAGCTTCCTGGTGTGTCGAAGTCTGGGACCAGTATGTGGCGCATACCATTTGTGTCCAGGCTCAACCTGTAAGTCTTTTGTTTGTGGAGGAATCCGGTGATCAAGCGCTGATAAGGGCCAGGAGCGAGTATGTAGCACTTGTCGTCTCCTTCGTTCTGGTCGGGTTAGAGGCGCTTATTCGAGTCCTCACTCTTGCGCTGCGTGGGATACCCCCACGGACACCCCTCTACAAGAATGCCACGGCTAATGCTTTATAGCTACGAGCATAATAGCCCTGTGTTATCGAGCGTCGAAACGGCTGTTCCACTATTCCACATCCACAGCAGCGAAGAAGTCGGTGTCCAGGCAAAGTTGTACGTACCCCATACCCCCTTGGTAATTATAGGACTGACGTTATTTCTACAGCCCGGTCGAGCGCCATCCGCGATGCTTCCGATTTTGTCGACTTATGCGCATTGTCAGGCTACCTGGCGGAGGAGCATGTAGTGCAGACTTCAGATGGATACTTGCTTGGGCTCCACAGACTTGGCTGGAAACGAGGAGAGGAGGGTGTAAAGGTCAATTCATCGAAGGGCGGCATAAAAAAACCTGTGGTATATTTGCATCATGGGCTGCTTATGAATAGCGAAGTATGGGTGTGTTTGACCGACGAAGAACGGTGTCTGCCATTTCACCTTGTGGAAAAGGGGTATGATGTTTGGGTATGTGTACCTACTTGTTGGTATATTCCTGAGATTTCGCTGACCATACATAGTTTGGAAACAACCGTGGGAACAAATACTCCAAGAAATCTATCCATCACCCTCCGACAGCAGCAGCGTTTTGGGATTTTTCAATGGACGAATTTGCCTTCCATGACATCCCAGATAGTATTGACTACATCCTCTCTACGACCTACCAACCGTCCCTGTCATATATTGGATTCTCCCAAGGCACGGCTCAGGCCTTTGCAACACTGTCAATACACCCGAAATTAAATGACAAGGTCAATGTGTTTATAGCACTCGCACCGGCGATGTCCCCAGCAGGATTAAGGAACGGCGTCGTCGACTCGCTCATGAAAGCCTCTCCAGAAGTTCTGTTTCTCCTTTTTGGCCGTCGCTCCATCCTGAGCTCAACGACAATGTGGCAGTCGATCATGTACCCTCCAATATTTGTGCGTGCCATCGACACCTCTCTGGCGTTCCTCTTCGGATGGTACGGCAAGAACATCTCCATGGCTCAGAAGCTCGCCGCCTACCCCCATCTCTACTCCTTCACCAGCACCAAGAGTGTAGTCCACTGGTTCCAAATCATCCGCACTGCCTCCTTCCAGCTCTACGATGACGATGTCCAACCTCCACTCCGCCTCGGCAGCGTCAGCAAATACACCAAGGTCGCTCGCTTCCCAACGCGCAACATCAAGACGCCCGTCGTCCTCGTCTACGGCGGCTCCGACTCCCTAGTTGACATTAACGTCATGCTGAAGCAGCTCCCTGCGCACACCGTCGCCACCGAAATCCCACACTTTGAGCACCTCGATCTCCTGTGGGCCCGCGACGTTGATACCCTCGTCTTCCCGCACGTCATAGACGCACTCGAAAGCTTCTCCGACTCCGGGCATACTGAAGAGCATTTCGCCAAGTACCGTGCTGCGCGCCATGCCTCCCTTGGACCGGGAGCGCGACGCCCTCATAACCCAACAGAGTCAACTTCCAAGTCTCTGGGTAGCAGCTATGCTGATGTAGCAGCTGTTACTCCGGACGGTGATGAAGAGGATCTTGTCGTGGATGGCCCGCGAAGGAATGCCGAAGGCGGGATGCCTTCTCTCGCGAGCCGCGGGAGGATAAGGGGACGTCCGGGGAGTGAGGGGATTGAATACGACTCAACGTCGTCGTCCGATATGGCACATGTTACAACTGCCCGGGCTATGGAAGATCGGAATGGTGTGAGGTAGATTGCGAGTGGGTGAGACACATGTGAGCTCAACCCGATAGTTCGCTTGTATATTTGGATAAAATACATGTATATATATATCTGGTAGATATCGTTCCCAATAGCAGGCGCGTGATCTGGAACGTGTTTCTGGATTAGGGGACCGGGGACCTCTTGGGACCACTTGGGACTACTTGACGATTAACGAACTATAAGAATTTATGAAGACTATGCAGATATGGCAACATTCTTGGATCCACATGTGCATGGCACATGTCTACCATTATACCATTTATACCTTTAGATTACTAGAGATACTTCACTAGAGAAGCTCAAGAGACATGTCTCGCGGCTAGAGTCCCAGTCGATCCAGTCGATCCAGTCGGTTCCAGTCAGTCCCTTCGAGTCTTGTCGTCGTCGTATTGTCTTATCGACGTGTCAAAGTGTCGTCGGTCTCGCCGTCTCTCCGTCTCCGATCTGTGTCTAATCGTCATCGACGTCATATGACCGTGAATCGAACGCCGGTCAAGGCCGTCAACAATCATCCACAGCAATCAGAGCTAAAGTACTGGTTTAGTATACCCGATGAGGCGTGGAGTATGACCGGCTCTCCACTGATCTTCCCCAAGAGTAGTCTTTCCGCCAAATGCCCCAGAACGACCCAACGATCGTAACGATTCTAACAGATCTCCAAGGATGTGCGGAGTATCGTAGTAGTAATATGCCATAACCATTACCATCTATACTACTACTAATGTTACTACTAATACTACTAAACTACCACATGCTCCTACTCCGTATGCACGCGTACTACATATTGGCACTTACTAGACCGTAGACCGCCGTATGCACTGTAACGATGTAACCACTCCTCTTCCATTTTCCCATTTCCCCATTCCCCCATTCCCCAAGCATCATCTTTCCAACTACTGTATAACCTACCACCCGCTCCACTCGGTCTCTTACTCGGTGTTCCCCCACCTCTCCTCCTCTTATATTCCCTCCCCCCCGCCATCCCTATCCCCTCCCCTCCCCTCTCTCCCTTCTCTCCCTCTCTCTTTTTTTCCCTCTTATATACCCCCCTCCATTATTATCGCACTCGATATAGCTACAGATGGCTTCCTATTCTCTTCCTCCTTGATCATTTACGGAGTACTCTACTCTACCAAGTACACCTAGCATTCACGCTGCGGGTCGACAATAATCCACCTTTCAGAAAACTCCCACCCCTAACCCAGAACCACTAAAAATCCCAAATTCTACGACCCGCCCCACCGATACCGACACCACAAACACCACTAACCCCACCAAACTGCGAGTCTTTTACAGGGCATATTCCCTGTCGCCGGTAATCGACCCTCACCACTCAACCTCGACGTTGCTGCCACGATTATGGCTGCGGCCGCGATCACACAAACTGGCGCCCGCTTCCCTGGCATCGCTGCTCTCTTCGAGAAATCTTCCCTATCCTCGAGCGACTCAGTCGATGCAAGCCGCAAGAAGGACGCCGTCGCCAACATGTTTTTGTCCAATGCGGCCACTCGCAGCTCGCCCGGCGATCTGACCAAGGGTTTAGTGGAGAAGCATCTTGGTGGCAGTTCCAAGACGCTGCGTGTTCAGGACTTCAAGTTGTTGAGGATCCTCGGGACTGGGACATTCGCGCGGGTTTGGCTGGTCAAACTCGCGCACCCAATGCAGGGAGCCGAGGATCGGGTGTTCGCATTGAAGGTCCTGCGGAAAACTGAAGGTGAGCAGCTGCGCTTCCTTTGCGGGGTCTCACGCCGGGACAATACTGACATTGTCCAACAGTAATCAAGCTCAAGCAAGTCGATCATGTCAACCACGAACGGGCTATCCTGGCTGATGTTGCTGGCCACCCCTTTATAACTACATTAATTACCACCTTTGCCGACTCAGAGCGTCTATACATGCTCGTAAGTTGTTATTCCCAGACGGCATCAATATCTACATATCGCTGACCCTCTCCCCCTCCAGCTGGATTATTGCCCCGGCGGCGAAATATTCAGCTACTTGCGACGCCAGCGCCGCTTCCCCGAACACGTCTCACGCTTCTACCTCGCCGAGATCGTCCTGATCCTCGAGTTCCTACACGAGCGCGAGGGCGTCGCCTACCGCGACCTCAAGCCCGAGAACATCCTCCTCGACGCCGCAGGGCACGTCAAGCTCGTCGATTTCGGCTTCGCGAAGCGCGTGCGCGATAGTACGCCCTCCTTTCCTTACCGTCCTATTCTCTCCTCCTCAAAACGGGCCATGCGGCGGTTGACCCGAAGCACGGTGGACGCGGATACTTACTATGGTGGTGGGTTGGCGCAGTCAGCGCTCGGATGGCTACATAGTCATGGTGTCGTCATCAACAGCTGCTAACCTGTGGAAATAGGGGAAACATACACGCTCTGCGGAACTCCCGAGTACCTCGCCCCCGAAGTCATCCAGTCCCAGGGCCATTCGACCGCCGTTGACTGGTGGGCCCTCGGCATCCTGATGTACGAGTTCATCACTGGCTATCCGCCATTCTGGCACCAGAACCCGATGGAGATATACAAGCAGTGCGCATCCCTCTCACCCCCCTCCCCTCGATCATCACACTAATCCACACCAGGATAATCCACAAGCCCATCACGTTTCCCCCTCACGAACCCGCCATCTCGGGCGACGCACAGGACCTCATCCTAGCGCTCTGCACAGTCGACCGCTCACACCG